ACACACACACACACACACACAACTACATTTTGAATTGTTTCATTTTAATGACATAACTGGGCTATGAACAGTAAATGGCATTCATATATTATATAAATACTTAACTACATTCTACACTAAAGAAAAAAGCAGTATCACTGGGCACAAAGTAGAATACATGTTTAAGTATAATTGTGTCCCCAGTAACCATCTTGAACTCATTAAAGAAAATCTTCCTGATATTGCCCAAAGAGATGGATATTAGAATATATGTATATATTGGCTATTTTAAAGAAAATAATTTTTATAACACAACTTATTTTCCTAACAGTACAAAATAGCCTAAGCAGATCCTCTAAAGGCTATTAAAAGAATATGTTATTTTCCATAATAAAAGAGAGCAATTTCAGTATAAGGTAGACCTTAGGAAGTATTCCTCACTTCCCATATTAACTACCACAGTTGTTATATTCATTTGGATAAGAATGAAAATAGTTTTATCATAATTATGGTAAACCCTATCTATGGCTTTAGAGCAGTTTTCAATTTTACTTCTTGGGAAATTTCATTTACTTCTTGGGACCACTATTGTATCCTGACCTCTTACAAGAGATCTGTAAAACAACAGGGGTCATGCATAGTGCCTAGTATATCCAAAGGGGTCCAATATTTTTGAATGAACAAATTACTGAATGAATAATATAATGGACCCTCATATTCTCCCTCCATTATGCCTATTGTGTGCTTTGGCACTTCTCCTTGTCAATCATGATGTATTTCTTTTCCTTTATCCCTAGAAAGGCCCTGATTGTTCTTCCTTCCTTTAGAGATCTAGAATCTTTAATTACCCTGATCTCTCTTGAAACTCATTAAACCATGAAGGCTATCCTTTTTCTTGGGCCTTCCTCAAGCCTCTAACCTGCTTCATGGGAAACCTAGAGATTGAATCTAGTTGACTGTTGTAAGATAACACTGCAGGAAATCAACTTTTATCTTCAGGTTACTTGAATTCCTCCATCCATTCCTACATACAAGTGTGATCCATTTATGGATGATTTTGGTTCAAACATTTATCATTAGTGTCATGCAACCATATTGTATACCTCAATTCACTGCAGGCAATTATAGAACAGTGGAGAAACAGGAAAACATTGCACATTCTAATGTGAGTTTATTAAACTGAGCCTCAAATACCTTGTTTATATATAAAATGCCTACACTCTCTATTTTCTCAATCTAGTATATGCATGATTTGACCTAACAAGCATATCCTTAAACCATAAGTAAATTAGTTTAGTCCCATGACTGATAAAATCCCATTGAAAAAAATTCTTTATAATTAAGTTTTTATGGATATCAATGACACTTTTCATAATAATATTTGCCAGAAAGCCAATATTTATAGATTGTTATATTTTAGTTGGGATTCCTATATTTTAACGGGGAGTCCTGGTGTGGCACTGTAGAATAAGAACTGGTTTTGTTTTTTGGTTTCCTCCCTGTTAAGTAGTTAGCCAGGTGCTAGAGATACATAAATAAAATAGACTCTCCCCTCAAATAATCTAATGACAGCAAAAGATCATTTTATATGAGGATTACTCATAATAGTAGACAGAAAGTTTAGTGGAGGTAAAATTGGGGAGGGGCTTGAAAAACTGTCATGAACTTTCTGAAACCCCTTCATATGATACCTTACTGGGTGAAAAAAAGGAAACTAGACAATTAGGTAGAGACATTATTTTAGCACTAGATTTCATACTTCAAATAGATGACCCAAATCTTCAATAGACTTTTCATTTGAAATATTCCACAAGTCATACTGTATATAATAATATGCTGCAGGATAAATGCTTGCCCACAAGTTCAGTTTGAATCACAAGGTTGGTAGTTCAAATTCATCAGTCGTTCCTTGGAAACCCTGAGTCCGAAAAGACTTGAAAGCAATTAACAGCAACAATTAATTTACCACTTTAAAAGTTGTTTGATTAAGCTAAAAAACATCTAGAACATTAATATTTTGGAAGGAAAGTAACGCTTGATGCACAATTTAACAGCCCAAACATGCCCATTTTCTGAACAGTATGTATTGAACTGTTATCTTTGTTTAATGTTAGAGTATCTATAAATTTCAGTTTGGATAGTCCCAAAAATGAATACCAGATTGAAAAATCTGACATCCATTGCATAAGTAACAACAGTACACAAAAGAAATCCAAGTGGAGAGAGAGAAGCTGAATGTGCCAGTGTTTAAAATCTCTTTCAAATACCAGCAGATGCTAAATTAAGGATAAAAAGATTAAGGTTCTAAGAACAGGGAAGTTTTCATCTCCTTCAAGACTATTGAATATTGAATCTTACTGACATTATAAAATATTCTACAAACATGTGCTTAACTCATGTTTAGGTTTTTAGATTTGATCATAATGAAAAGTCAATTCTTTTTGTTTGTTTATATCAGATGCTGCTTTTGAAGCCAGCTCAAAATTAAATTCCAGGCTCAAAATGTTACATCTACATTCACACCCACAGGCAGCTAGCTACTTAACAGATAATAACAATTTTAAAGCAGAGCCTGAAGGTCCTATTTCCATGTTAATTTCACAATTCATTACTTATAAGTTAAGAAGTTTGAAAGGGTGGGGGGGGGTTGAATCCTTCAAAAGGATATAAATTATTTAGTTACCAGTAGCGTTTACAACAGCTCAAACTTGCACTTGAAACAACTACAGTGTTTCTTTTCCTTTTCTTTTTAATTGGGGGAAGAGGTTTCCATCTCTCACACTTGGGCAGTCAGGATGTTGAGTTTTGTGGGGTTTTTTTGTTTTTTTTTCCTTTCCCCTCTCTCACGCTAACACATTTCGTATGCACCTAAAATGAGTTTAACTTATTAGCATTCGCAGGCCGGCGAGAATGCATATAGGAAGCTGGCATTCAGAAGCGGGAGCATCTTCAAGAGGCAGCAGGTGCTGGCAGCGCTGGGACGCGATCAATGGAGGGAAGCACATTCCTGCTAACGGAGGACTAGAAGAGCCCTTCCAAAGCATCCCAGGGCTTTGAGCATCACTCCGGACATTCCCGGCCAGGGGTGGGATGCAGTTTTACCTCGACAGTGCCTGTTTTACCCAGTGCACCCGTCAGATTCCCCATCACTTTTCTCAACGCTCTGGATTGGGAATCAGAGTAGAACTCTCCTCTGTACCCCTCCGGGTCCCCCAATTCCTTCCCTTCTACCCCCGTTCATGGGACCCCGGCTACAAGAAACGCACCCCCTTGCGAGCATCCCCAGGCACTGTGAGGCGGCACTAGGACACCGGCACGGGTTTCGCACGACCCACCGAAACTTCCCAGGGGCGCCAATTCTAAATTCTCCCGACCCGCCGCTGCCTCCTCCGCGCGCCTCTGGGCTCGGTCCCCTGAGTCCGCAGCTTCCTCTCTCTCAGGACCCCCTGGCGCGGCGAGAAAACGCCGCCAGGTGCTTCCCCGCCCGGGGGTTCCCGTCGGACCTCCGCTCCGGCAGGGAGCCTCGCTCCGACAACCGCCGTCGCCACGCGCACCCCTCACGCACACTCACCAGCCCGCGCCGGAGCGGCCATCTTAGGGCTCACCCCGGCCCCCAGCCCCCCGGTTCGGCGGCGTCGGCGGCCCGGTAGGGCAGCTACGTCAGGGGTGACGCCGCGGCTGGCCACGCCCCCTCCGGCTGGCCACGCCCCCAGGGGCCTAACCCAAGGCGTCCCCCAGGGTTGTTCCTCTTGGCGGCTGATGAGGGACCGAGGCCTCAGGGGATCCGATGATCTGACTTCAGCTCCTTGTTCTGGAATGTGGACTGTCTAAATGCGGCTCTGAGAAGACAAGCAAAGCTTCTTCCCCCGACGTGCTTTGCACCTGTGTATCCGTCGGGGCCTGGAGAGGGTAAATCAGGTGTTCACTTTGTGCTTGGCTGCGGTGACTGTGCGGTGGAGTCAGTTCCGACTCATAGCGACCCTGTACAGGGTTTCCGAGGCTGTAAATCTTTACGGGAGCAGAACGCCTAATCTTTCTCCCGCGGAACAGCTGGTAGTTTCGAACTGCTGATTAAGGTTCGCAACCATAATCGTAACCACTATGCTACTAGAGTTCCTATGCAAAATAGTCCGCAGGCCGAGTTACACAGTCTCTCTGCAACTCACAAGGGGACAAATTGTTGGGCAGGTAAGCCAGTTCCATTGGCTTAAAAATCTGCCCAAATTTAGTCAAAAGTCTTTGCTTAGGTAACGGGAAACATCAGACTGCAAGAAAACGTTTCCTTTCCTGGGAAGCACCTTGGTGTGATTACTTTGAACTCAGCCTCTTCAGACAGCGTTAGGGAAGTCATGTTTGAGGATGCTTCCTGAGAAATACAAAGGACGCACTTAAAAACAACGGCACCTCTGTCCAGCATTATCTACCCTGAAGCTGATATTTCGATACAATGAAATACATGGAAGGAAAGCAAAGACTAAGGAGAAAAATCTGGAGAGGAAAGTTAAACCTACAGGTACATGAAAATTAACCCATTAACATTTATTGAGTTATTTTTTGAGCCTTGCTCTGATCCACTTCTACCTCATAGCTGACCTGTGGGGACACAAGAGAATTAAAACACTATCGTCCTTACCCCACTGCCATTTTCGCAGGTGTAATTTGATATAAAGTTACTAACACAACAACGGACCCTGGTATGGTGCCGCCGTGGGATCAGCACTGGACTGCGAACCACAGGTGTCAGCACTTCAAACCCACCAGCTGCTCTTCTTAAATCCTATGGTGGTGGTGTGCCGTGGAGTGGGTTCCGATTCATAGCGACCCTGTATAGGGCATAGGGTTTTTAAGGCTGTAAACCTTTACGGGAGCGGAAAGCCTCATCTTTCTCCTTCCGAGCACCTGGTAGATTCGAACTGCTGTCCTTGTAGTTAGCTCGTAATCCCCTACACTGTGGCTCCTAGAAAGACAACTGTAAAAGTCAAAACGCTTAATCTTTTATTATTATTGTTGTCATAAAACTATACTGGGAGATCATTTGGCAGATAAATATCAAGAGTCAGTAAAAATCTTATTTAAAACAAATTAAATGAGAAATATACAAGTATACGCTAGGCTTCATTTGTGGGCTATATCCATTTCTCCCAAGGTTCCTTCTTTTAAGTTCCTTTTGCATAACCCCTACCCCCCTTGGCAGAGTACTGGACTGGGGTGACCACCAGACTCAGAACAACTGATCTGTAGAACCATGTTACAGCTCCTCCCACTCTGTTGTTGTTGTTGTTGTTAAGTGCCATCGAGTCGGGTCCGACCCATAGCGACCCTGTACAGGGTTTCCGAGGGTGTAAATCTTTACGGGAGTAGAAAGCCTCATCTTTCTCCCGCGGAGCGGCTGGTAGTTTCGAACCGCTGACCTTAAGGTTCGCAGCCCGATTCGTAACCACTATGCTACCAGAGCTCCTTCCCCTCCCACTCTGTACTCCTGGTAAAAAAGTCGTGTGGATTGCATAATGGTTTAAAGGTACATTGAGAGAACAAGCAGTAGACGGAGGAAGCAGAAACTGAATTATCAGAGGATACAGGGAGTAGCAGAGCCCTGGTGTGGCACTGTAGAATAAGCACTCGATCTCAAGGTCGGTTTGAACTGTAAGGTCAGTGGTTCAAACTCACCAGCAGCTCCTTCAAAACCCCATACAGGGTCGCTATGCATCCTACTTGACCACACTTAACAACCCCACAGCTCCACAAGTTAAGGAGTTGGGGTCTTAACTTGATTGTGAGTAGGAACTGCTTAGATTACAGGGGGCTTCATAAAATAACTGTATAAAAGTAATATGTAAAACTACCTATACTATATTTTACATATGTATGGATATGAGTCCTGGTGTGGCACTGTAGAATAAGCACTGGAATGCTAACTGCAAAGTCAGTGTCAAACCTAGCAGCTGTTCCTCTCCGACTCAGGGGCACTTGAAAACAAAAAGAATGTGTGTAAAAAATATTCTCTTTGATAAACCCTTGGAAGGAATGCCTCAAAACTTATTAGTGAGAACACCCAAACTTACAGATAGTACCCATTTGACCTAGCCTCAATAGCTTTATAATCAGAATTCAAGTAGAGGATGATTTAAAAAAATTTTTTTTTGATAAAGGAAATGAGGTAAATTGCTACAATTTGGTGAACTTGACCTATACTCGTGGATGTAGTAGCTCAAAATACCAACAGAGAGGGAAGGAATCTTCACATCAAGTACCAATGCTATCCCCTCTATATACAGAATAGATAGGGACAGACAACTTAGACATTGGCTACCTAAAATGAAGTGGTGATACAGGCACGAAGGAAGTGACTGGCTTACAAGTTTTCAAGTGGAAGTTTAGTTTAAGGGTGTGGGCGAAGATAGAGTCCTCACTGAATAGTTTTCATGTTGCTAGATGGGTCTGGTAAAATGAGATTGGGATGATTTTTATGATTATTATCATGACTAATTGTGACTGTCACAATTGTAAAGGTAGAAGTTTTGTAACAAAAACGAGGCAGTAGTTAATTTTATAATCCAGAAACATAGGACCATAGGACCATCAAGGGAGAAGAGCACAAGTGGAATGAGGGTCTATCCAGAGAAGCAGAGATACCAAAGATGGGGATAGAGATGGGACATGGAATGGAGAGAGGGAGCAGCTGAGGACTCTAGATTCATGGACAGAGAGGGACTGAGAGCTGGTGGCCAGGGGGCAGACTTGCACAATGTGCCCTTTGGTAGTTTAAATTACGTATGCCTGAGTGTTTAAAAAAAAACAACACACAGCCAAAATGAATAGAGATACTGTTAACTTATGGTACGTGTTGTTGTTAAGTGCCATCGAGTCAGTTCCAAACCATAGTGACCCTGTATAGGGTTTCCAAGGAGATGCTGGTGAGCTTGAACCACCAACCTTGTAGTTCAAATGGTTTTGCAGTCAGGTGCATTAACCCAGAGCGCCACACCAGGACTCCTATGGTACATGGAGGGGATTATAATCATTGTAATGAAACAAAGTATATGATTTGCTGAATGTAGAACTGTTGATCTGCCCTGTAAACTTTCACTCAAATCACAATAAAAACTTAAAAAAAAAAAAAAAAAGTGGCAATGAGATTACAAGTGATTTCTTTTTCTGAATTTTCTACAATGATCATAATTTTAAAAAAATATTTTTTAAAGAGTTAAACAGAATGAGGACCATCAAGTCTGCTAGTCAGAAAATAAGCATAGCATGTGGTCAAGGTAACCAGCAGACAGTGGTTGTGAAGAAGTACAGAAGGAGGAGAATTCCTGCGAGATTATAAATGGCTTTAAGAAAGAGGTGGCACTCTGGGTCTTTTAAAGATTAACATAATTTGGATAAATGAAGAGAAGGAGGTGAATTGGAAAGAAGAGTGGCGGTTCTGGGCTCTGGAGTCGGTTCAGAGTAATAGTGACCTTTCACAGGAAACTCAGGGTTTCCGAGGCTGTAAATCTTTCCGGGAGCAGAAAGCCTTCTCTTTCTCCCACGGAAAGAGCTGCTAGTTTCGAACTTCTGACCATGAGATTAGCAGCCAGAGACTCATAACCACTGCGCTACCAGAGCCTGCTCCTAATGTCTTGAATGTTATTTGTTGTTGTTAAGTGCCATGGAGTCAGGTCCCACCCATAGCGACCCTGTATAGGGTTTCTGAGGAGCAGCTGGTGAGCTTGCAGTTGAAAGGGCTTTGCAGTCAGGTGCATTAACCCACAACGCCACACCAGGACTCCTGTCTTGAATACAAGGATGTCAACTAGGAAGAGCACTAGGTGGGAACAGGAAGAATAGATGTCAGCAATAAAACACATTATTTGGAGATTGTTGTTAATTGTTGTTGTTGTTGTTAAGTGCCATCAAGTCGGTTCCGACCCATAGCGACCCTGTACAGGGTTTCCGAGGGTGTAAATCCTTACGGGAGTAGAAAGCCTCATCTTTCTCCC